CCCATCAACGGGCCTTGTCGAACGCTTTCCTTGCTCAGCTCGGGGCCTTCGCGAGTACAGGACCTTCTGTCAGGCGCTGTTGGCCCCTGAGAAATACAAGGCCCCCGACCAGTGTTAATCATTGGCCAAGACTTTATAGCTGATTGGGAATTTGTTCCTGGGGCCCATATAGACACGGAATCAACTATGTGGTACGGTGGTACCTAACAGACATATAGGCCCACATCGGCTCATGGGGTCCCCAATCAGCGCAAAGGGCCCTCTGACAGTTATTTGAGGGTCCGCCTTCGCAGGTCGGGGCCACCGAATAACAGCCAGCATTTGTGCCTTTAGACCCTTCAATCGGGCCCTTGATCGTCAGATCCAGTGGGCCCTCTAGGCTCTTCGAACACTGTTTCTGGCCGACTCGGAGCCCCTTGACAACACAGGGCTCCCGTTAAGCGCTGTGGGGCCCGGAGCAATATAAATCATAAGCCCCAGCTTTGTCCCTGCCTGGAAAATGAGCCCATAAGCCCATGGCGCCACGGAGCTGACTGTGCGTTACTGGTGGTGTCTGACCGAAATCTGGGCGCGTATCGACTCAGTGCTAGACCCTTATCAGAAATGTAGGCCTTTATCGGTCCTGTTCCACGCGCAGGGCCCTTTGACTGGCATTTGAGTGCCCAGCCCTGCGGACTGGGGCTCCAGAGTGAGACTTCCGGACTGGCCTTTCCGGCCCTTAATCGTAAGTTCTGAGGGGCCCGAAGAGCCCCTCGGAACCTAAGGGGAGGAGTGGATGCTCCTGTGTCCCCCGCCCCCCCCCCCCCGCCCTAAAGACAGCACCTCAACGAAACACGACAGGCATCCAACCACCACAAAGTAACCAGACTGCCAGAAACAACCCACTGATAGGATTCACGTCCATCCAATGAGGCGCATGGCTGACAGACCCTTACTGTCCTCGCCATTTACAGAACTTAACTGAAAGACAACAGCAGCCTAATAAAAACCCGCTTTGCACTGCGCTTCTGCGGATGCCTCGGCCAGTCTGGACAGCCACGTGACGGGACCCAGCTGCAGGCCTGTCACTTCAGGCGGCGCGTCTAACACCGGCCAGCTTCTGGGAGCTCTGCGTGCGGTGTGGCCGTATCGGCCCGACCGAAGACGCCCCCAGCCAGCGGAACCCGCCGGTCGGCTGGGCGTAGCAGCACGCGGTATTATCTAATGGGACAATCTGGAGGTATCCTCACGACGTCAGTTTTTAATGGGACGATCTTAAGGTATCCCCGCACATGGCTACGTGCTCTGAAGGTGGACGACGTCATTGAAGAACGCAGGGTGATGTCCCACCGCTTCGTCACTTCTACGTAGAGGAACCGAGGATACTGGTGCGGCTGTTATAATCTGTTACGGGAGTTCCAAGATCAGAAAACGCTGGTGCGCCCACGTGGGAAGGCTGCGTCCGTTACATCGTGAGTAATTAGTACTGTAATCGCTGAAATCATTTCCACAAAGCCTTGCGTTTTTTGTCGACGGGTGCCTTGAGTCGTCCTCTGCTGCGTGGAATACAGCAGCCTTTCATCCTTACCGGCATAAAACACACCTCGGCATGAAAAGGCCACAACAGGCGGCTGTACGTGACTCGTAAAGCCCGCTGACAAACAGCTCCGCGTGTGTATGTGCTGTCATCAGCGCATGATTTAAGCACCAAATTTGCTGTCGTATTATTTTGACATAACTATTGGCATGTTTTCACACATGCTTTCTGGCCAAAGGACTCTGCCTCGGTGTCCACAGTATCTATCCACCAGCGGCCCGGTATGAGCAATCCAAATTCAAACGCATAGCAAGGATAAGCAGGGAAAGGGAACGGCCGCTGTTTGTCGGCTTTGGTGCGCGGCACCACCTGCGAGTGGCTGTTATAGGCTCATTCGGCAGGGCTGCTTTGCAATATGTTACGTAACATGTTCGTTACGTGGACATAACATTATTCGACACTGAGGTCGGCACACAATCATCCCGTATTCTTCGCGAACAGAGGTAATGCGTACCACACACCACAACCTATTCTCAGCCATACAAACATATTTGTAGGTAGGCGCACAGCTATATCCAGTGACATTGCGCAAGTTAACGCAACGCTGCACGGATTTTTGACAGCAATTTGGCTACGACAAACGCGTCCGCAAAAGCGCACCCTACACGCATGCGAGGAACGTAGCCTGCCATGGGGCCGAAAACGGCATTGAAAAGATACAATGACGGGATGAAAGTCCACTTAGTTACTGGCATAAAGCCTGAACATGATGTCCCAAGCCGGGGGTTATTGGTCGCTGGGTCCGTCTGGGGCGATACCAGATACCGTATCAGGATCAATGATTGCCCAGCCATACGAAACAAGAGGATAATAAACACACTTTTTATGGCCCAGTGCGATAAGACGACACAAAACGCAGCAAGGACGGTCCCAACGGGCGACTGAGCAAGATGCTGTCCAAAGTGGTCCCACGAGCCGGAACGCTCGCTATGAACTCCAGACAAGCCGTGATTATATCATCAAAGATTTCGTCCTAAAAATGCCACAAACTGGCAATAGCATATAACATCCCAAAGCAGCATCATGTCGCTGGAATGCAGAACGCGCCACATTGCTGTTGTAATTGGAACTTTACGACGCACTCAGCTGCTGAGGCTACGGGCGTGGCGGGCCCTTGCCCTGGTGGGAACGACGGGCACTACGGAGAATCGAACCCCGTACCCCTGGTTTCCCAGACGCGCAGCCGAACCACTGCACTGACACACACGTCTGCGGCACATCTCGCGGATCATCGCTCGTCAGTAATGGCCTGTTTACTGCGTGCAGCCTGCTTACACGGCAGGTCTCTGGCTCCCGTCGTCTGCCACCGTCCGCAGCCACGCACGACCCACGCCAGCACGCCCATGCCACCCCTTCCCCATCCCCTGTACGAGCAGTCTCCCCGTGCGCCCCAGGCAATGCCCGGCGGGGTGCGCGCCACGGCGCGTGCGCTGCGGCGGGCGGCGGCGGCGGCGGCGGCGGCGGCGGCGACGGTCCGGCTGGGAACGCCGCCGGCGAGGCCGGTGCTAGGTGCCGCGCGGGCCCGTCCAGGCGCCGCGGGGTACCCTCGCCAGGCACGACCCCGAAGCGATCACTTCCAGCGTGACACACGGTAACGTCAACCCACCGCACCGTGTCCCAGCACACGCAATCTCACTGTTCACTGCGGACGGCCTGCACCATGCTACGCCTCCACTATGCTACCGTCAGCTTTCTTTCCGTGATTGGGCACTTCAAAATGCTACAACCTGATCGGGCACCTGCCGAGCCATTGCCGGGACGAGCCGTGCGGGGGTTATTCGATCTGCCCCGTCATGGGACGCGTGCAGACACTACAGATGGTGAAAATCCCAAAATATGTGGGCAGCGGTCAGACGCATGGAAGGCGGATCACTCGAGCGCCCCAGGCGCTTTGGCCATCGTGGAGGGGGAGGGGAGCAGGGGATATCATCCCAAGGCGGTGTTTCCATAGCCAAGTTAAAAACAACAAACGTTAGCACCAAGACATTCGGTGGGGCTGATAATTTATTCGCCGTGCAAGCTTTAGATAACAAGTTGGTCTGATGTTCTTTCCATGCACTAACTTACAAACGCCATCTCTGAATGCCAACCGGGTCTCGTGCGAGTTTTTTACGACAAACATCAGTTGTTTTTTTTTTTTTGCTGTTGATTGACAATGAATGGTAGCCTCACGCACGGGATCAGCATAAAAGTATCCACGAACACAGGCCACTTCGGGTAGAGCGGAGCTAGTTGTACCAATGTTTGCCCTAAAATCCGTCCGAAACCATTTTGGTGCTGAACTGGTTCTGCACATATTTTTGCACCCAACTGCTCGCAAAATGTCACTCTTCCCTACGGACAGCTGTACCAGTTCTTTCTTTATTCCCGATGGTTAACTCCCACCCTGCGACGGGGGTCACAGAGTCCCCCCAAATTATGACATGGCATTTGAACGGTTTTGAACACGTTACTAAAATCTCCAGTGCCTGACAAAATGCCATTTTCGCTTATGCTAGGAAGTTCTGAAGTCCCGGACCTCGACCATTCATGATTTATGAGGTCTTTCTCGAGGTCGCGTCGGTGACGTTTCGCACAAAAGCAGCAGATCACGATAATTTCTGTCAGGAAATGGTCTCAAAGAGGTTTTTTAGACTTTTCTTATCTGTATCGCTGTGAAATATTTTACTACTGTTCTGATGAAATTGAAAGGGCAGGCGATCTAGGGTCAAACTAGGCTAAACGTTTGCCTTTAACACCAGATTTCAACCCTTGAATTTTGACAGTCATACGATTTTTAACCTTAAATGCACGTATCTGCGGATTAACACCATTCCAACCCTGCTACTATCCTTATGTGGGCTGCTCGATTGATGCTATAATCGGACATGCCAATGCAAAAATCGCCTACAACGCTTTGACGCTGATGACATTTCACAAGCTACATGCACCGGTGTCCCACCGGCATTCATCACGTAGATACAAAAAAAACTCAACGCGGTCTCCCGCATTGTCAAAGCCTTCTTAGTTCTTGAGATCATACGTGGGATCTACGAAACGTTAATTCGACCCCTGTGACCTAGTTTGACCTCCCAAGGTGAAGCCATTTTATGCGCGACTCTAGGCTGATAAACTCTCTAGATCTTGCGGGGAGCCTCCCATCATGGGGCGCAGCAAACAGAATACTCCCGCAGGGCGAGGGTTGAAGCTTAATTGGTCTGTTTCAAAGCGCCAGACCAGAAATCCTTGAATTCCGTAAAACCAGTCTGTCCAATCTTTTTTTTTTTGTCCATTTCCTGACTGGCGGCCAATTGTCAGTGAGTGCCTAGCACCCCGCTGCCCGACCCGGTCCAGCCCCAGGTGTGCGCTGCCAGGCCCAACAGTAAAAAACAGAACGGAACAAGAATCGGCGGCGGGGGAAGGGGGAGGGGTAATGGCCACTCACCTGCAGTATTGAGATCATCCTCCGGATGTGCTCGGTCGTGAAGTGTCTCATGTGGTGAAATCCGAACCCGGTGAAATCCTGAATGGCTACGACGCCGCACACCTGAGAGGCAGCATTTCCGTTTAAGCAAACCGGGATTACCGTCCAGCAGAAAAAAAACAGCATAGCGCGTCCTAACCTACACCAAAGTCAGCCAGCATGGGGGACCGACATTAAAACCGGCTATGCCTGCCGCAAAACGACGCCGACGAAATCCAAACGCGGGACATATACGCCATGCCCATTCTTTTACGCGGACATGGCTATCGACGACGTCACACGACAAATCGACGACGAGGTATCGACGACGACAGGCACGACGACAGGCATGCCCAATCAGCAAAACCGAAACGTCACCACCATACAAGCGACAAGGCTCAGACAAACCGTGTTTTAAGCCAACTTGGAACTAACGGGCTGAAGGCGCGGGCAGGAAGGCGGCAGGAAGGGGGGCAAGACACCGATTCGCGTTCGATATGTGCGCCGATGCTGGAACTCAGCTGTACATTTACCAGTGGCATCAAATGCCGACGCACGACGAATGTCGAAATTGTTGGAATTCCGACGCACGGCCTGGTGCGGAATATCGCTACAAGTTCAGAGAGTGAGCAATGCCCGGCACCCAACTGTCAGCCTCGTACGGGGAAATGGCAACCGAATGGACAATGAGCCTGGCAAGAACAAGAAAGGCGTTAAACTCTTGGCGTTTCTGCACTGAGTCTTATGCTCAACATATATAAGTTTCTGACCACTCCAAGCGGAGACCACGTCACGGACTCCCCAGTCGGCACAAACAGCGGAACCCACTGAGCTGAACAAGAACCCCTCCCCATTCCTGTCCCGCACTATGCTGTGAGCTCAGCACGGCGGACGGGTTCACGCCTGCTCACCTGCGTGGCCTGCTCGCGGGCTACGTGCTCTAGACAAAGCACGTTCGTGCAGAAGATATCATCCATGCTGCAAGTGGACGGGTCCCAGGCTCCTGTGAAGATGACAAATCTCGTTGAAGACAAGCCCACGTCGGCGTGCAGCGGCCACAACACGCAAGGGTCCGTTCTCACCGGCAAACAAAATCTACAACCAGCACGCAAAACCACTGGCGACATCAGCTGACAGGCACTAGAAAAAAGTAAAGTAATCGATTTGATCCTCGTAAGCTGAATAGAGCAGCTTTAAAGCTTTATTAACACAGCATAATGCTGATTTCATATATTATGATGACATTTAAAAAATGAAGAAAGTAGGACGCGTTGGTTTGACAGCAGTACAAATAGTGAAAGCGTGTAATCGGAAAAATCGCATAATACATTCATGAGCGATTCACTCTCATTCCCATGACAGATAATGTCAATATCTGAAGTGATATATCATGTGGACCCTACCTAATGAGCTTATCACGTCCAGTTTAAGGCTAAATAAATGCATATCACAACGTTAGGACTAACACATAAATCAATTTCCATCAGCTGAGCAACATGAGCCAGCACGTACGTAGCACTCGAAACAATATTTTGCTTCGCAAGATTTGCTTGTCAATGTGTATAATTTGGTGATATTAATCTATATCCATCATGTTAGTATCTACCTTGATTTCTACGAACAACAGTGGAAACAATCAATGTCTGCTGGCCGTAGAAAGCTCATCTCAAATTCTTGCCAGAGCAGCAGATAAGGAACAGTCGGTGATCACAATGTCATGAGGTACAGTGACGTGTGTTTGTTTAAGTCAACGCATTACATAACTTGATTACACCGCTGCGGCATGGTAACAGCGTCCTTTAATTGAATGCTCGACTCATCAGGAAGCAGCTGCACAGTTTGATGACGACCAACGAGTTTCTGTCAGTTTATGCGCAATTTCACTGTGCCCACATGACAGGCAGCGGCAACCGGTTCCGGCCTGCTCAAAGGTCTTCCCTACACACAACATAATCAAAGTCATGTGTTAAGTGTGACACAGTAGTATGGACAGAAACGGCGATTTGCTGTTGGCCCGCGCACGCCACACACAGGACGTGACATTTACAGCACGCTGAAGCATCCGCACATCAAAAGGTTTTGTCCCTCCACGGCAGCACGCTATGATCATGCATCATGCGTAGTTACACGTACCTCTTGACCCTTTAAGCGACTCATGCTGATATCTCGGCTAGAGCAGTTCAAATCTGCCTGCATCTGACCTGAATGTTTTGACTTTTGGTCTAGTAAAATTGCCACTATCATCATTATTGGCGATCATGCTCTAAAAGGCACACGTGCAGCATCAAAATGCGCACTCCTTGGCACACCCTTCACATGGGCGAAAACGCCTTTCCCTAAGTTTCGAAGGCCGAGTTGTGGATGCTAACAGGCACGTTAGCATCACGAGCGTCTGCGATGGATCGTGGCACCTAAAAAGATCCAGATGAAATCCAAAGTCGAGACCACGGCTCCAACAGTTTCAAAAAATTGCAAAATCACGCGAGTGGACATATTCAAGTGCACTGCCACAGTCACCAAACCCCGTCAGTAGACAAATTGCCCCAAATTATCATACGTCTGTGAGTGCCGATAGCCTAGTGGTTACCCAGCGAGTTTGAGAAACCAGACGTGCGGCATCGACTCCCCGCGATGCTCGCCCTTCCAGCCAGGGTGACAGGCAAGAGGCACGTATAGCCACAGCGGCTGGGTACGTCATAAAGCCTCAATCAGGACGACGATCGTCCCATACCACCCCTAGCGGGATATCACGAATGTCAACATAAGGTGGTCGAAGTTCAAACACCTCTTGCGGGTACATGGTTTACAGAGGTTTTGGTATAAATGGTTTTAACAGCTACAGGTAAACAGCTGTACTCTTAATGCAAATGAAAAGCTGCGCATATATAACAAAACAAATTGACTCCGCCCGAGTTCACATGACCAATGAACCATATGCGAAAACTGAATATAACCAACGTTAAAGCTGTAGTCATGAACGAAGCTACGGAGTGATTGAATCCTTGCTTCAAAACAATTTTAGTGAAATCGACTTGGAGTCGTACCAACGGCGGCGCACGCGGTGTTCAAACGCCATATATTAGGCTTTTACTAGCAAAAGGGATTCGCTTGCTTTATAGCTGAAATAGCGCGCTAACCTTACACCGGTGCGTGTCCGACTGTTCAAATGACAACGGCGGCAGCCTTGTCGACGCATTGGCCAACCCTACTGCCATCGCTTGGCGTAGATGGCTGACTCCACTGGCGTAATTTTTGGCATCATCATACCAATCGACACGAATCTGTGGCGACCGCGACCGTCGTGCGAAAGTCGCTACTCCGCTTGTTAATTATCTACACATAAACTATGCTGTATTCTCTCTACTGGTGCAGGAATAACGAAGACTGTTCAAAACTCATGTTGCCGTCATCTGGACAATGGTAACTTAGTGCTAAAGAAGGCAGACTATGTACTTGACAAACAGCACTCAAAGCAACTGTTTACCGTGCGCGCCCGGCCGTACGCAGTCGCGACGGACTATCGACATACTGGCGCGAGGGCCTTCACTGCTGAGCCTCGTGGCAGGGTTCGATCACTGCTGTCGAGCCTGCCAGGGTGCTAGGGGCCCCAACTGGACACGCCGACATCCACAGACCGGGCCTGAAGATGAAAATGCGACAGCCGTTGTGGTCGCGTTGTGGCAGCACTAGCTGCAGGTCTCGCTCGAAAACGCGCTGGTAGGCCGACGGCCGCAGGCCGTCGAACAGGTGCCGGTTCTGGGCACGCGTCCAGTAGTACTGCTGCACCTGAGATGTGGTCAGGCAGCAGTCGGGCTACAGTTGGGGCACGATCGTAACATGGCCGTCACACCACCAACTTCAAGAGGCACCGTCGTAACGTGGCACTATCACGGAACAGTAAGGCCAAAGCCAGGTCATAACAACAGTAAGTCACAGCATGTTCTTGGCACAAAGTATGTTCTGGACATGATGAAATTCATTATGAAGATAAGTGGTGTTGAATGCTTAACACTTTGATTGTTAGAATTCATGAAATATTTCAAAACTTACAAAAGATTCATGACATGGCTCACACATCAATCCTCAAATTCAAACACATTCCCTTTCTCCCACACACAGACCGTACCATTTGAAAGCTACAGTCGTAGTCAAATTTACGAGCACGTAGAAATCTGAGCAGAAATTCGTCATCCAATCTTGAGTTCAGTTCTGTGTCCTCTGAAAACCACATTTCATTGGTAGGCGATATAATACATGACTATCAATTTCAATGCAGGCGGAAAGTGTGTTCAAATTTCTTCATTTCGCCACCGATCAGGGCATCAATCATCACCTACATTTAACGACCTACACCTAAAAATAAAAGAGATCATATGATACGTCACCAAACACACAAGGCGAATACAGCCACTGGAAATGCCAGCCACTGGAAATGCCAGCCACAGCCACACCAATCAGCCACTGGAAATGCTCCATGCTCAACTATCAAACAGTTCAAACCACGAGTCAGCCAGCAGCCAGGTCTCACCTGATACAAGATCTCTGAGTGCAGCTATGTCCCTGTCCCGCCATTCTTCTTTTTCCTGAAGCTCCTCTTCTGCCTTCTTTTTCAGCTCATGAGGTAGTTGAATGTCAATCACACCAAGGCAGCCTTTCATTTGGTTACTGTCTATGATGTCTCCAGCACACTCTGCCATACTAACATGACGGGCTAGCTGCTTGAAATGAATAACGTGTACTTGATTCTTGATGAAATCCCTAAAAACTATCTCTTAAAGTGAAAATTTTGAAATTGTTATGTTTTCAACAGATAAAATCATATCTTTCAAAACTTAAAATATCATGAGCTTCTGAAAAAAACAGTCCAGTATTCATGGCCAGGGCACTGTAACCAGTGGGGGCTCAGCAGCAGTGATCAGTTATCTCCCCAAAGTGGTGCACAACTGATTCCAGAAATTAAAAAACTGTCACGAGCAGCAGTCTGGTTTCAAAAATCTTGTATCTGCATATCAGCACAATCTTATGAAATTCAGCACACTTGCGACCAGTGATGAGGGAATGAAGCCTTACACTAGGACCCACAAGTGGTCAGGTGTACTATAGCTCTGGCTGCTAGCAGCTCATGCAACTTATCTCCAGCAATGGAGGCAACCCAACAGCATCATTGGTTGTGACCATTTAAACATAAACTGACACACAAAATGTGGTCATTGTACACATAACATGCATTTCACATGATATGCACAAAGCTAGCAACATTGAAAATAATATAATAATAATCATTGTAAAAACACATGCACACACATATGTGACTGACAGATATGATAGCTGTGTGGAATGTCAAGGAAGGGAAATGCCTAGTATTGGCTTACTGACAACCTTTCAACCAGGTTTGTGCCTACAGGATAGGCAAGGCAGGTATAGCCCTTGAGGTATGCCCCAAGGGCTGTGAAACATTCAGAGCAAATGACAGTATCTACAGAAGCCCTGCAACTGCAAGCAGTGACATGCTGGCAGTTGCAGCTATTGTCAAGCTCCTGAGGGACATTGCTGCCACTGGTCATTCCCATCTAATGATTGATGATGACTTCAATACACTGGTAAGAGACAGGGGCTTTGGACTCATCACCTGCCAGCATAAACTCTCTTTGAGGCTGCAAGAAACATGATGAGCTGGGGCATCACACAAACCAGCAGCTCCAAAGCATATAGAGGTCAAACTTGCTTGGAATGTACCAAAGAAACCAAGGATTTTGAGGAAGTATGACAAATCAAGGATGAACACACATATTAGGTTTTAAGAGGTTAAGGCATGAGACTGTTCTGTAGTCCACTAAAGGCAAAGAAAAAGCTGATGTATTGACCAACTTTTCAGTGATGTTTTCACTATAATACATCTAAACAGGCATTCTAGGGATAAACTTTGGGATCAATGGGGGGACTAGAGCCTTCTCTTATTTTTATATATCTGCATATATATGTACATATTATGATACATATGCACATGTATATATGTACATTATATATATATATATATATATATATATATATATATATATATATCCAGTATTGAAACAAACAAGCATGAAGCAACAAAGCTACAAAACCTCCACATCAACAGGCTGCCTGGACCAAATAAGCTGCCCCATTAACTTCTTAAGGAGCTGCCATTGCCACTCAGTGAATATTTGCAGGTCTTATTCCACTGGTATCATGAACCTGGAATGCTGGCAGTGGAATGGAGAGACAGTGATGTCGTACCTACTTGCAACAAGAAAGATCAGGGGTATCCTGACAATAACCACCCTGTAGGTTTGCTGTTGAATGTATACCATTCAAGGCTATCTAACATTAGATACCATTATGGTGCTTTACAACACACTCAGCTGCTCAGGCAATATGGTGTAGATTGCCTCTCACTCTGGCAGGAAGGGCAAGCACTACCTTATACTTCTAGTTTGCCAGAGGCTTTCTCAGATATGTGGTGGTTAACACAGATTACCCATTGCACTATCAGCACCCCTAGACCATGACCCCTGCTGGCTATGCAATGAAACTGGTGTTGACAGTGCACCAAGCTCTGAAATTTACAATATTTTTTTTTTATTCACCCATTTATAGGTTTACACCACACATGATGAAATTGCCATGGTGACTGTTGTGCTTACCTCAGCCATTTTCAGCATAACATGGATTTTTTTCACAGTATACTAACCCTGGCTGTACCACTAGTATCCAGCATGGTGGACATATCTCTTTGCACACTGGAACTGAACAAGACAAAGACTATCAACATATTCAGTCTGTAAAAGCTTGCTTCTGAATAGTGTATAGTACATCAAGGAAATGCAAAACAGGGTGATATCAAAAGAAAAGAACATGCCTCATGCAACAAGCAACATTCATCTACCTTGTTATATTCGGTATGCTAGTGCTGGCAAGTGAAAGGTTTGTATGCATCTCACACAAGTCTTCTGCCCTTCTACTTGATCAAAGAGAAATATCAGTTCACAAATGATGCGACAGATGTTATAAATACGTAGGTATCTGACTTGTGAAGTAACATAGAATACGCAAATGTTGTCACTTGCCAGCTCTGCACGTCCACGCCCTTCTCCCCATGTAGCAACGCGCTTTCTAGGATTTTCGTGACCCCCAAGCCGGTTCCACACAATGCAAAAGAAATGCTATCGCACCACCACCGCCGTACCCAGACCGGGCCAAGCTGCCTGGGGACTGAAAGCTTTATGAGGCCTTGACAACTGGATAAGAATCACAAAATATACTAGCCTTCATACGTTAATGGCGCATGTGTTACAAAATATATTGGGTTATAATTGGCGCATAACTTACTTTCGGACTCTTGTTGACATAATGTGGTACAAAAGCACCTTTTTTAAGTTATTCGATATCTATCATGTGTATTTATTCCTGTAGATAAAAAGCTACTCTACTAGGAATGTGCTGTAAGGCAACCAAATTAGAGAAGCCGTATTACCGCACTACTAGGCAACAATTGCTGGAAGCACAGAATTGACACGCGGTAAAAATTAACGCATTGAACACAGAAATGATATGCGCGGAGAAGCAGGTGCTGTCGACATATCAGCAAAACGGAGCAAGGCCAGAAAGAGTCAGGGAACTGCGAAATAAACATGCAAAAGAGGTGCTTTTTCAGTCTCAGCACTGAGCAGTGTCGTCGTCACCGGTCCTCAAATCACACCTGTGCTCCATTGACTGCGGAGCGCTGTATGACAATCCACGACTGGCGCGGGCAGCGGGCGGCAACCGACGATTCCGCGGACCGTGCACGGCGCAGTAGTGCAGGCAGGGGAAGAGGAAAACACAGGGGGCACGAGCCCTCCTTAGGTTCCGAGCAGCCCTTGGGCCCCTCGGCATCTACGATTATTGGCCCGATTTGAGGGCCCGGAAGGCCGGTCGGAGGTGGTATTCAGGAGCCCCGGCCGGCAGGGTCGTGCACCCCAATACCAGCCAGAGTGTCCCCTGCTCTGATCAGGGGCCCCTTGAGTCATTAAGGGACTATATGTCAGTCAGGCACCATCGGTTACACGCATTTGGCTCTGTGTCGGCATGGGCCTGAGGGCCCATTCCCCAAGCAGGGACAAAGTCGAAGCCAGCGATTTTCATTGGCCACGCCCTCAGCGTCTGTCAGGGCCCCACAGTGCTTAACAAGGGGCCCTGCGTTGGCAAGGGGCCCAGAGTCGGCCAGAGGTGGTGTTCGAGGAGGCCGGAGGGGCCGGGGGGTCTACCGAAGCCGACGATCAGCGGCCCGAATTAAGGACACGGGCACGGACAAGGGCACGAAGGGCTGGTTGGACTCTTTTTAGGGGCCCCGGCCCGCGGGTCATTCAAATAACATAAAGAGGGCTGTCCCCGGTCGGCGTGCACTGCCGTACAGTGCACGCCGACCGGGGACCTCTTAGTCGATAAGGGTCTATATGTTGGTCAGGTACCACCATCACCGCGCAGTCGGCTCCATGTCGGTATGACCCTGATGACTCACTTCCGCAGCAGCTACAAAGCCAGGGCCAGCGATTTACACTGGGCAGAACCCCTGTACCTGTAATGGGGCCCACAGCGCCAAACAGGGGGTCCTATACCCGCAGCCATTCGGCAGAGTCGAATCCGAGTCGATTGTCAACAGTCCCCGAGTCGACCAGAGGCAGTGTTCGGTGAAGCCCGAAGAAGTGTCCGGCCGGCCCACCGAAATCCACAATCAAGGGTCTGGTTCAAGAGAATAAGGACCCGAAGAGCTGTCTGTAGGTCACATAAATAATTGCTGTCCGTAGGGTCATGACCTAAAATATTCGTAGGACGTACTTTTGCACTATTTGAGGACACCTGAGACAAAGCGGGTGTGTACTTCGGCCAGAGATCAGCAACATCCAAAAGTCGGCACGACACCCTGCCAGTCTGAACCCTTGGGCCCATTTCCCAAGCAGGAGCAAGGCCGGGGGCTAGGATTTAAATTGGTCTGAGCCCCTGAAACTATGGTCGGGGCCCCTGTGTCGGTCAGGGGCCCACAGTACCTAACAGGGTCATGTGTCGGCTGGTGGCCCCGAGTCGGTCATGAACTTTGCTTGAGTGGGTCTGAAGAGGGGTCGAGGTGCACTTCGGACGCAGGGTCAAGGACTTGGCCATTGCGTCATTATTTTCGTCCAGCCATTAACTACAACAGTGTGGGCCGCGTGACATATGGAGACTGCAACGCCTGGCGTCACGGTGTCTGTTGCTAAGATTTGCGAGCACGCATGCTCAAACTGCGTTACATGATCTTCTTGACCGATCGATTCAGACTGATTGTTGAACATTTCCAGACAAATATAGCTTGCCCACGCCAATACTAATTGCAGAACTGTTTCTATTTACAATCTGCATTCGCGGGATCCTTATTATCTCGTAGAACCCGTATCCAAATTCTGCCAAAGCTTCTGAAATCTATCGGTTTGGGCGGAGCCCACTGAATCGTTGTAAGATGGACAGCGCCGTTGACTTATTTCATGCCATCGTTTAACGCATGATTTCTTCAGCTTATTGGCTATGCAATTCAGACAGAATTGATCTCGCAGTAGCATATGGGTTTTGTTTCCGTAAAGAGAGTAAACATGAAATAATAGCACAGAAAACACGCCATTATGAGCAAGCAGGCTATATCCAGCGATTATAACGCGCTCCGGATGGGAGGTCAAACTGACTCCCCCCCCTCCCGAAGATTTTTCCGAATGGTTTCCGAACGGCGCGGTGTAGCCGCGTCAAACTTGCGTAACTATTGATTGTTGAATAGCGGATCGTTTGGTGCAAGAAATTTAGATGTACCCTGTGGGCTCACTGACCTATGGCAGGTCAAAGTCAGACCATGATTTCAGCGAAGTCAGTTTCTAGGGAATCGTTCAATCTGATGCAACAACGGAATGTTTGACGAAGCTATACATCTTTGAGGTGCTTTATTAGGCAATATAAACATTGAATAAGCAAATTGCGTTGACCTAAGGTCAGGTATGGAAGTCAGACCAAGGTCAAAACCAACCTGTTTTATTGCTCTAGGACCTGCTGTATGGGGTAGTTTCCGGTGCTCGCTTTGAATTCATTGATAGCAAGAGCCGCATCATACATCTTCCATGGACTCCTTACAGGTCAGAATAGGTCATTGACTTAAGATGATCCAGGTCGACATTTTTTAGGAACATCCTGCCTGGCGCAACCTTTTTCCTTTATTCAAATGCAAAACTCAGGGCAGTCTTGTATTATTTTGGTCACCATGACCTTCAAAAGGTCAAGCAAGGCCACTAACCTTAAATGAGCTTGTGACCTTCTGCGTAGAAACAGTTATCTAGGTTATGGAGGTGCTTTGGGGACCAACCTGGAATTTGACCTTGCTTGACCTCATTTGACCCGAAGGCCATGGCCTAGTGACCCCAAGATTTGACCTAAGTGAGTCCAAGTACAGGTCAATACACCCTGTAAGTTTGGGCGGGGGGGGGGAGTCAAATTGACCGCCCAAGCGAAAGGCATCTAGCCGGCCACCCAGGCGCGTGTTAACCACCAAGAACTTAATGCCAGCCTTGTCAATCTTGTGCTTACACCACACTTTTCCGCTCGCAACATGAAGCAAAGGCAGAGGCGACACCGCCAATTTTTGATAGGGTGTAGGGGGTGGGTTGTAAAACCACCACGACACTTGAGTGAAAACAAATTTAATAGAAGCCATTCGTTTAATTACTGGCGTATCCGTAAATGATCATTATTATGCAAATTCCTTCGGTGTCTTAAGTTACAACATCGTGGGGGAGGAGGATGGGACAAGGATACTGAGGATGGGAGCAGGAGCTGAGACCCACAGCTTTCTGACAATTTAAAATTGCGCTGTTGGGCGTCGACTGAAAAGAAATGATCTAAATGGCTATCATCTCCTCACCCATTAGTGAGAAACTGTCTTTTCTGTCACCGACGAAATTTGGAGCACTCTAGTTTGTCACTTGAAGCCAAATCCTTCAGAAACCACGTAAGTCATTCAGCGCATTTTCAGAGGCCGTTATAAACCGTTTTCAGAAACCGTTAACTCTACATGCGATAAACTGCACGAAACAAAAATGAATGAAATGCAATGCATCACAAACATCAAACAATATCGTTGCGGGAGTTTCATTGGCACTAAGGTATAATTGATTGACAATGCCAAAATCCCCGTTCGTTAGGACACACTTAATGGTGCACGAGTGGCTAGAGCATTGGACTTATGGCAGATGAGAGCGTTAGTTTTTAAGGGTTTGGACCCCCCCCCCCCCCCCACAACAATTTTTCTCCACCGCTTTGCTGATTGTAAACTGTTTTTGATGTTACAGCCTATGTCATGGTAAGCTGATAATTTCTGTGCCGTTATAGACAGCGATGGCCTGTGTTTATAAATACGGTGTCTAAAACAGAGCTTCAAGTTCCTATAGTTCCAACCTGTTCCAAGTTCCAAGCTGAAAGGGCGCTTCCAAAGTTCCCATGATGCAAAGTTCTAGGCCTCTACAATCCGCGCTTCGGAAATATTCTCTCTCCGATCCAGAACCACCCATCAGAATTCCAACACCGGATAACCTATTTCACGGCCTGGGTTACATGGATGCCGGGTCTATGCTCACATACTGAGCCGTGCTTAGCGATATTGGTTGATACTCGGATTTCGGATGCCGAGCCTACTTCGTCATGTGACGACCTTGTTTACTGTTTCGCAACAAGTCTGATTTCAGTGTCGCTCGTGGAAGGAGATCGCAACTTTTTAACTGCATTTTTACACTGCATTGGGACAGTGTACGCATCATAACCGCCCATAGCATTTTACCGCTATCCTGTTATGGGCATATTCACGCGCGGCACATCGCACGTTCCAGCTGTGGACCTAGCAGCTAATGATCACAAAGCACAAACTCGTAAAAATAGAGCAAGGCGTGCAATACTTCTTCCATTAGCCCGCACTGCACCATTATAGTGTTCTGCACCTTAACAGAGCCTGTGCTGCCAGTTCCTCATTGCACCGACGGTAAGCCGTTCACTGGGGCGTCGC